TACCACTGTTGGGGAACGTAGTAATTTCAAAAAAATTCCTACGCACACGCAAGATCATGGTGATGCATAGCAACGAGAGGGGAGAGTGTAGTCTACGTACCCTTGTAGACCGACAGCTGAAGCGTTATGACAACGCGGTTGATGTAGTCGTACGTCTTCACGGCCCGACCGATCAAGCACCGAAACTACGGCACCTCCGAGTTTTAGCACACGTTCAGCTCGATGACGATTCCCGGACTCCGATCCAGCAAAGTGTCGGGGAAGAGTTCCGTCAGCACGACGGCGTGGTGAAGATCTTGATGTTCTACTGTCGCAGGGCTTCGCCTAAGCACCGCTACAAAATTATCAAGGAGTATGGTGGGAGGGGGCACCGCACACGGCTAAGAAAACGATCACGTGGATCAACTTGTGTGTCTAGAGGTGCCCCTGCCCCCGTATATAAAGGAGCAAGGGGGGAGGCCGGCCGGACCTAGGGCGCGCCAAGGAGGAGGAGTCCTCCTCCTAGTAGGAGTAGGACTCCCCTCTTTCCTACTCCTACTAGGAGGGGGAAAGGAAGGGGGAGAGGGAGAAGGAAAGGGGGGCGCCGCCCCCCCTCTCCTAGCCCAATTAGGACCAGAGGGGAAGGGGGGGCGCGGCCCACCCTGGCCTCCCCTCTCTCTCTCCACTAGGGCCCATAAAGCCCATTACTTCTCTCGGGGGGGGGGGGTCCGGTAACCCTTCGGCACTCCGGTTTTCTCCGAAATCACCCGGAACACTTCCGGTGTCCGAATATAGCCGTCCAATATATCAATCTTTATGTATCGACCATTTCAAGACTCCTCGTCATGTCCGTGATCACATCCGGGACTCCGAACAAACTTCGGTACATCAAAATATATAAACTCATAATGAAACTGTCACCGTAACGTTAAGCGTGCGGACCCTACGGGTTCGAGAACAATGTAGACATGACCGAGACATGTCTCCGGTCAATAACCAATAGCGGAACCTGGATGCTCATATTGGCTCCCACATATTCTACGAAGATCTTTTATCGGTCAGACCGCATAACAACATACTTTATTCCCTTTGTCATCGGTATGTCACTTGCCCGAGATTCGATCGTCGTTATCTTAATACCTAGTTCAATCTCGTTACCGGCAAGTCTCTTTACTCGTTCTGTAATACATCATCTCGTAACTAACTCATTAGTTGCAATGCTTGCAAGGCTTATGTGATGTGCATTACCGAGAGGGCCCAGAGATACCTCTCCGACAATCGGAGTGACAAATCCTAATCTCAAAATACGCCAACCCAACATGAACCTTTGGAGACACCTGTAGAGCTCCTTTATAATCACTCAGTTACGTTGTGACGTTTGGTAGCACACAAAGTGTTCCTCTGGCAAACGAGAGTTGCATAATCTCATAGTCATAGGAACATGTATAAGTCATGAAGAAAGCAATAGCAACATACTAAACGATCGGGTGCTAAGCTAATGGAATGGGTCATGTAAATCACATCATTCTCCTAATGATGTGATCCCGTTAATCAAATGACAACACATGTCCATGGTTAGGAAACATAACCATCTTTGATTAATGAGCTAGTCAAGTAGAGGCACACTAGTGACGTTTAGTTGGTCTATGTATTCACACAAGTATTATGTTTCCGGATAATACAATTCTAGCATGAATAATAAACATTTATCATGATATAAGGAAATAAATAATAACTTTATTATTGCCTCTAGGGCATATTTCCTTCACTAAGTCATTAGTTACAATGCTTGCAAGGCTTATGGTGATGTGCATTACCAAGAGGGCCCAGAGATACCTCTCCGACAATCGGAGTGACAAATCCTAATCTCGATCTATGCCAACTCAACAAGTACCATCGGAGACACCTGTAGAGCACCTTTATAATCACCCAGTTACGTTGTGACGTTTGGTAGCACACAAAGTGTTCCTCCGATAATCGGGAGTTGCATAATCTCATAGTCATAGGAACATGTATAAGTTATGAAGAAAGCAATAGCAACAAACTAAACGATCAAGTGCTAAGCTAATGGAATGGGTCAAGTCAATCACATCATTCTCGTAATGATGTGATCCCGTTAATCAAATGACAACTCATGTCTATGGTTAGGAAACATAACCATCTTTGATCAACGAGCTAGTCAAGTAGAGGCATACTAGTGACACTCTGTTTGTCTATGTATTCACACATGTACTAAGTTTCCGGTTAATACAATTCTAGCATGAATAAGAAACATTTATCATCATATAAGAAAATAAATAATAACTTTATTATTGCCTCTAGGGCATATTTCCTTGACTACCATAGGTGGAATTCATCTTGAAGATCATCTACATCAACCTTTCTCCCACCATGTCTATGTGTAAGTGGTACTCTTTGGACTATGGGTCCGTAAAAGTAGGTAGATGGCAATATATCTCTTGTTCTTTAATACAATGATCGCATAAGTTTCCCTACATGGTTGTAAACCATACGATGTAATTTTTTAGGTGTGTTCGGTGCAGTGTGATGAATTGTCACTTTATTATCAGATCTATACATGTTTGTTAAGGGATTCATATGAAGTCTTTGCTGCATAATTTATAGACATATATGTTCTCCGATCTATTAGTCTTACATGGACCATGTTGAGGTGAACAATCTCTAAGAGGGAGTTGTGTATGTCAGATGATTTCAACCTTACAAATAATCCACCGTTGTGATAGAAGTGGAAAATGCTTGTATTGTATTGTATTATATTGCTGCCACTAACAATAAAAAAGATAGTTCAGTAGTTGTCCCGGTGATGAACACGGGATAAAGACAATATATTATCAACATCATGTACTCATGCCTAATGCAATGCTCTATTTTACTTGATATATCTTTGACACCAATACTGGATAACATTTTTTAGAGTATTAGCAACAGATGCACTTAGATTAAAGTTTATAGACACTAACCATGTTGAGGTAGCCACTGATGATGGAGGGAGAAATTCGACGACGTGGCAGTGGTTGAGGTAGTCGGCTCTTCTTTGACATGTACGCAAGATTGCCTTGGCTAGTTTGTTGCCGTGAATTCAAAGCTACGGTGGCGGGTCCTTGTGGGGTACGATGACAGGAAGTGGGTGGTCTGTTCAGTGATCTTTTGCGGTGCCAATCGTGCCTACTTCTCCTTTGTAGCTCCCCATCAGAGTCGGAATTGCGCTATCTACTCGTAGGTGGCTGAGTTTTGGCGCAAATTTTCACACAGCTCCACACGACCTATTCGGTGTGGGTTGAGTGGACGATCACCTAAGGCAAAATCGGAGTCGTTTGCTCACGGTCTAGAGATGGCCCATCTATGGGAGGAGTGATGGCGATGACGCTGGTGTATTGTCTCGACGAGTTTATCTTTGATGTGGTGTGTGTGGGGTATCTTATGTGTGCCGCTCGGCGGTTGTGATGGTTTTCCGACCGTTTTTTCATAATTAACTAGGCAATCTGGTTTCGGTGTTTCCTAATTAACCGAGCAACACTTTTCTTCTTAATGAATGTAGGAATTCTGTTATTTCAAAAAACAATTAGACACAACATACACTATGCTTATATGCAAGTATATCATAGATAGCCGTAGCTATAAAAAGTACTCCCTCTGTGAACTAAAGGAGAGATCTAAAGGAGGTTATATTAGTTTACAGAGGGAGTACAAGTTACTCGATATGTAACTAGACTTAAGAGATTTCAAATATGTATTATTCGCATAAAAAGCCTTAGTTTAATGGGAAAGAATCAAGATACTTTTAGTGTCAATGGGACTCACTAAGACAGAAAAATGGAACATTGGTTCAAACTCCTCTTTGGATTAAAGTGGTACTTGTGAATAGCCATTAACTACGTGAAAAAGGTAGAAGAACATGGCCCATTTTGGGCCATACAATGTGTTACAGATGTATGATTGGTCATTACTCTTCGACCGGGTTATTGATAGAGAAAAAAACTAAAGAAGAATGAATGGAAGGAGGAGAATTAAGGATTCACGGAGGAGGGAGGGAGGCTATATATACACAATGTTGAGATAATTGAGTTTTCGCATACAAACACTGGCACGTTAAGTGGGCGGTGGGACATTTATCATCAATATGTTTTTTTTTTTGAGAAAGATTTATCATCAATATGTTGGTTCACGGGTCATGCGTGTACATCTCATCTTCCAACTGGGCTTGCACATGGACAGTGTCCACGGACCCCGGTCCCAGTTTGATGGCCATTGACTCCACTCGACCTCAGCCCATGTGACATGATAAAAGTGTTGGACCTAAACAAATGTGGTTCATTGTTCCTCCATTGTATCAGTGTGGTATTGGTTCCAAACACACAGTAATCCACGTTGAATCTGCGTCCGGCTTCAACGATCATAACATACAGTGTTCAAAGTGAATGTGCGAGATAAACTCAGTGACCGATAATGCATTTCACTCCATGTGCGAGATGAACTCAGTGACCGATAATGCATTTCGCTCCAGCGTATTACTTATTTGTTATACCTTTGATTTATTAGTCCTCCTCGTGTTTCGTGCCAAAATTTAATCATAGGTTTAACTGATGAATGTTAATGCATGCCAAAAAAATTACTATATCGTTGGGTTCGTATTTGAACATAGTTTTCAATGATGCTGTTTTCTTATGATATGCACTAACATTTTGTTATTCAGTTTTGCTAAAACACATCTAGATGTGCCATAAGTATTGCACATCTAAGTCTTCATTGATTTTACATTAAGATTCGTATGAATATTTTCTTTCTCTTTTTCCTTTTTCTCTTTATGCTTGATTCACTTACTTAGATGTGTAATAACTAAAGCATATCTAGATGTGCACTAGACACACCCTTTGTTATTTGTCACAAAATATTACAGGGATAAACCAGGACGGAAGTAGTACGGGATTCCCAAGTAGTACTACTACACGGAGTGCATCGCAATGCTAGAGCTTCTTTAAAGCAGGCACAAGCTGCTATGGCTATCCCTGAGCGAGGTGCACGTAGGGCGGCCCCGTGTTTGGTCCTCCTCCCAACCTCTTGAGTCCATTACGCCATTGTGGCAGCACGCAGTTGCCGAAGCCTGCCAACAGTTGAATAATTAAGCACCATCAAATCAAATCAAACAAAAAGGGATAACATGTTGACGACGGAAGAATAGCTAGCTAGCTAGCTTGCGGAGGGTGAAGTGAACTCACTTGGCTGCTGGTAGACGACGGAGCCGCAGCCGCCGAAGTCACACGACTGGACGGACCGGCCGTTGCGCTGGTAGTAGTCGTTGAACGCGTATGAGGCGTGCGCGACCCTGGTGTTGGGCTCGAAGCACCACCCGCCGGCCTGGATGCCGCTGCAGTCCGCCCCGTTCCCGCACGCGTAGTCCAGCGCGTCCTGGAGCCTCCGGTCCCCGACCGCCGCGTTCGCCACGCACCAGCTTGGCCCCCCGGGGCCGGGGCCGGGGCCGGGGCGGGTGAAGTTCACGTCGTACACCTGCGTGCCGTTGGGGTAGAAGAGGCCGAAGTTGCGCTCGTCGTCGTCGCCCGGCTTGAGGTTCTCGTTGAAGAGGGAGAAGATGTAGACGGAGATGTCCGCGTCGGGGTTGTACGGCGTGCCGGCGCCGCTCAGGACCTTGCGGATGAGGTTGGAGTTGTACGCCTGGGCGTTCTCCGTCGAAGCCGAGCCGTCCAGCTTCGAGTTCGAGGCCACCCCCGTTTTGCCTTTGCCGCCCGGGGCACCCGACTCTGGAACCCTCATCAACGAGGCAACACGTCGACGCGTCCTGCCATTACCATGAGTATGCTCGCCGGAGTTGCCCAGCTTCTCCACGGCATGGAACACGGCGTCGACCATGGCGTCGAACAGGTTGAAGTAGGTGAGGCCGGTGCCCGGGTCGTGCTGGCCGTTGTTGGGGCGGAAGAAGGCGAAGTCGGGGTCGACGTGAGAATCGTACTTGTAGGCGAAGTAGGGGTAGATGTTGAAGGTGAGGTAGGAGCCGGTCTGCTCCAGGAAATCCACCATGGGCCGCATCACCGACCACGCGATGTCGTCCCGGAACTCGCCCACGGACGGCGGGAACGACGGCACCTTGAGCGCGTCCAGCGCGATCGGCGTCACCACCTTCACCGCGTCGCCCAGGCCGGCCCCGGCCAGCGCCGCCTGGATGTTCTTCATGGCCGGGAGGAGCTGGTGGGTCAGCCATGGCGCCTGGTGGAACACCTCGTTCCCGACGGCCACGCTGTCGATCCACGTGCCCGGGTACGCCTGCACGTTGCTCTGCACCCACCGCACCGCGTACGACATGCTGCTCGCCGCGTCCGGTATGTTGTCGTTGGGCAGGGACACCCCCACCTTGATGCCGGTGTTGGCCAGCGCGCGCAGCCCTCCGGCGTCGGCGTCGTACAGCCTCACCATCGTGATGCCGTGCTGCTTCAGCAGCTGCACCACCGCCGGCGGCTGCGGCAGGTTGTCGCCCATCATCCCGTAGCACACGCCCACCTCGCCGGCCTCTGCTGCAATGCAATGTACGGCCGAAAGGTTAGCTAATTAACACAGCTGCTGCTTCAGTGCGTGGTTGTGATTACCTGAACCGGAGAAGAAGGTGAGTGACAGTGCACCGCCGACGAAGAGAAGCAGGAGGAGCTTAGGGAGTGCCATGCTCTCCTAGCTAGGTTCTAGCTGCTACGGCAAGAAGATCGATCGAGGGATTATAGACGGGACGATGGAGCCACATGGTCGAGGTCAAGTCAACTGATGCCCGGCCGGCGGCGTGCATTGCATTTGGATACTCCGCTTGGAAAAAGATTTGAAATTAGTTAAGTTAATGCGGTATACGTACCGTTTTATTTTTTCCGAACAAATCCAGTTGGGATACTTATCCATTTGTTTGACGAAAAGGCCGCTGTATTCTGTTGATTAAGCAGCAAAACAACGGCATGCCGAAAGGGCAAAACCAAACAAAGGAAACGAAAAAGACAAAGATAACGAAAACGAAAACCTTTTTTTTAACACAGTACAGACGCAAGCGCTCATACATACGCATATACATTCATTCCTGTGAAGGCACACACGCACACCCTACTCCTATGAACATCTTCGATAGACTGAGCCGGCATATCATGCAACGTCTCCTCCCACTAAAAGTGCATCGTCAGAAATCCTGAAATAAATTCAGAAAATAATGCGAGCACCAGGACTTGAATCCTGGTCGGCTGGGAATACCACTGTCCTCTAACCATCCAACCACAGGTTGGTTCACAAGATAACAAAAAACTAAAGCTACCGGTGAATCCAACCACTGTCCTCTTCTTTTCCTTCTTTGTTGTGGTGATGGCTGTAATGTGTGGTTGATGCTTTATATATAAAGCGGGGCGAAAGCCTTTTTCGGTAAGCTACCGGTGAATGTAACACCCCATATGTAATCCTTCCCATGTTGTAACATATATCCAACTTGGTCTTGATCTAATTCCATGTGGGTCCCATCATTGTTGGCTTCATTTGTTTTGCTTTGTTGTTTTACTTATTGCATTCCATGCCATCTTTATCATTTTGCTTTATGCCATCTTTTGCTTGATGCATCATATTATAGCATTGTGTCGTCCATGTTGTTTCCAAGTTCATCATGTGCATTGCCCTGCATCATGTTTGTTGCTTGCTCCATGTATGATCTTGAATCATCACCTCCTCCCCCCTTCTTCTTCCTTTCATTTTGCAAGATGCATTCTTTCCCACCTCAATAAATGTCCCATATTTCTCTATAAATCGTGCACCATGCCTACACCCTCTCTGTCAAATTTCATCTCAATTGGACTTGCTTTGATTGGGTTAAAAAATGCATCAAGTTTGATTTTAGTTCAGTCATTCATACACCATCCAAATGAAGGCAGGGTGACTAGACGAAAACAATCATAGAGGTAATTAAGTACTTCTGTGATATGATTGTCAGTCACATTCACTATGACGAAAATAAAAATGAACGCGCCGCCCCACTTGCGACAATGCCAGCCGTCCGGTCTGCACCCTGTCAGTCTGCAGTCTCCTCGGCTCACACTTGAACCGTCCACGTTCATGCACCCTACTCTCTCTGTTCATAAATATAATTTTTTTTAGATTTTAATATGGGCTATACATGGATGTATTTCCTCTGTTTCGTTCACGAATATGTATACATCTAGTTTTGATCTTGAGTTATAGTCTAACTCAAGGCGACTCTGCACAAAACTTCTTCAAATAAGACCGTAAAAACTGCAGTAGGTGACCCATCATCCCTTGGAAAAAGAAGAAGAAAGACTTCTGAAGGCAACAGGTAAGATGTCTTGAGGCCCGACAATTTGTTAGTTTGGCTTGACTGGGCCGGGCTTGGGAGGCTACTTGTCCACATAGTGCTCATCTTTGCTCTTTCCGTCTGTTATTTTCTGAATTGTTCTCCCATTGAGTACGTAGGAGAATACTGGGGGCTATCTTCCTATTGGACTGAATAAAATAATATGTATGTATACAACATTAGTATATCATCAAACAATCATAGAGGTAATTAAGTAGTACTTATGTGATATGATTGTCAGTCAGGTTCACTGTGACGGAATTAAAAATGAAGGCGCCGCCCCACTTGCGACCAGCGGCATGCCAGCCGTCCGGTTTGCACGCTGTCCAGTCTGCAGTCTCCTCGGCTCACATTTGAACCGTCCACGTTCATGCACTCTACTCTCTCTCCGTCCATAAATATAAGTCTTGTTACATATGGATGTACTTCCTTCGTTCGCAAATAAGTACTATACATCTAGTTTTGGTCTTAAGTCATAGTCTAACACAAGGCCACTCTGCAGAAAACTTCTCCAAATAAGACCGTCCGAACCTACAATAAAGGTTGTGTCACCGGGAAAACAGCAGTAGGCAACCCATCATCCCTTGCAGAAAAAAAAGACTTCTGAAGACAGCAGATAAGATGTCTTGAGGCTGGACAACTTGTTAATTTGGCTTTACTGGGGCTTGGGAGGCTACTTGTCCACATAATGCTTATCTTTTTTTAACGTGCTCTTTCAGTCTATTATTTTTTGAATTATTCTCCCATCGAGTACGCAGTAGTATACTGGGGTTTAGTAAGAGTGGCGTTTTGGCACATGAGAGTGCGCATTCCTGGTTTTTAAAATGTGTTTTAAACATATTTTAAAATGTCAAAAAATTCTAGATAAAAACTTGACACGTATATCTTGATATTGTACATGCTCACAAAGTTGTTTCGCGAAAAACGGACAACTTATGTGTCGCGTGTGAAAAAGGCAAAATCCAATTTTAAAAAAATGCTTTTTACAAGACATCCTTTTGTTTTCTTTACACAAGTCACAAAAATATCGGTTTTCTCCGAAACTTGACGTGTACATATATAATATTAAGATATATGCGCCAAATTTTTGTTTGAAAGTTTTTCACACTTTAAAATATATTTTTCGCATACAGGAGCGCGTGCTCCGGGGATCACCAACGGATTTTCGGGGGTTACCTTCCTATTTGACTGAATAAAATACTATCCATTTGTCTTTAAAATATTAGCACTTGGTAATGTTACGGCAGTGCTACACTCTTATCTACTCAATTATATTTACAAAGTATTATCTAATCGATACTGCAAGCATTGCATGTTGACTCACGAGTCACTATCATGGCTGATCGATCCCTCAATTAGTTTAAGCCTCTCCCAAGGTGAGCTGTATGTATACCTAAATGATTAAGCAAATGTCAACCATTGGTTAATTAGATTGAGTTGATGAATGATGAGTACGTCGAGAAATAAGCGTCGAGACCTATTCAAATTAACCAGATGATTACCTCCACACGATCCTGCGTGTATCGGCTACAATATGGTAATGACATTTGCTCGTATCGAGCATGAATAGTTGGATTGATAATGCGAAAAACAAAACTGAAAATATATATATTTATCATAATTGATTATTAATGCATAGTTATATAAAAATATTGAATAGAAGTAGCATAATTAAATGATAAGACTCTTCTCATGCATGGTTGCATGTTGAAAGCGTTTTTTCATGCACGTTTGCATGCTGAGGTGACATGTTTGAACACTGGAAGAAATATGTTAGTGAAATCACCAATCAAGTCATATATATAGGATAAGTTGATACAGTCCGTAAAATAAAATTAAAATGTAGAAATCTTGAAGAGCAAGTTGCTTATTTATTTTAAAGCAACTAGTACCTCGCAAAATAGAGGACACCATTTTTATGTTCAATGTAAGGAAGGTGTTGATATCTTTTTTTAATCTTATGCACATTTTTCCATACTCCTCTTTCCCCATTTCATCATAGAATGCATTGTGTTTAAGATATTGATACATTTGTACAGGTGTAACTTCAATATTTGTTTTGTATATGAATATATGATTATGTTACTCCCTCCGTCTAGGTGCATAGGGCGCCTAAGAAAAAGCTCTATGATTTAGATGGGCTGAGATTGGATGAGAGCGCACCCAGGTTTCCATCAAAATTGAGACTGAATTTGGAAATTAATATTGTCATTAATGTTTTCGGCTAACCCATGTTGTTGGGGATATAACTATTTATGTAGGCCGCCCAGGAGGAGCCGGGTTACGCAAAGAGAAGCCCATCTGAAGCTCAAGACCAAGACGTGAAGATGGCGGTTCAGTAAAGGGTCTAAAGGCCCACATGCGATTTATGGCCCATGGTGATAAACCGCCATGAGGGCGTGACTTGTATTGTAAGGTAGAAGTAACTAGTCACCGAGCCGGACACTGTTTATGAGCCGGCTGGGACTCTGTAAGCCGTAGGGCGTCGACCCGTGTATATAAGGGGACGACCAGCTGGCGGCTTAGGGTAAGAAACAACAAATCGAGAACCGGGCATAGCGTATCTCGCTCCCTGGTCATCGAAACCTCAAGCAATTCCAACCCAACTAGACGTAGGCCTTCCTTCACCGTAAGGGGCTGAACTAGTATAAACCTCGCGTGTCCTTTGTCCCGATTAACCCTTCAAGCTTCCTAGCTGCGATGGCTCCACGATTAAGTCCTTGCAAGAGGACATCTGCCGTGACAATTCCACGACAGTTGGCGCCCACCGTGGGGCCAGCATACGGTGGATTTGAGTTCTTGAAGGGCAGCTTCGAAGGGCTCAAGGGATACACAGTTGGCCGGATGACCAAGAGTCATCGCGGCAAGATCTACATCACCGACGAAGACTGGGGCCCCGACGCCGGCTCAATTGAGTATGGATACCGGGTCCCCTTTGGCAGAATTCACGTCTTCATCGGCTAGATTGGTGAGCCGGGCCCTGAGCTGGACAGCTGCACCGACCCCGTCGAGACAGCTCAGCGTGCAAAACCCGCCCGAGCTCAACCCGTCATGAAGCGTGCCTTTGTGGGTTGCATCCACGGAGGTGAACTTCCTGAAGGATCTGAAGGTCATGGTGAGCCGGCCGTCCTCTCTGACGGTGATTCGTCCGCCGGCTCAACAGATTCGCTGTATCAAGTTCAAGATGGTGTGCTTGGGGGCTGTTCCGATGGCAGCACTATCCCGGACCCCTCAGAGTCGCCAAACTGGGCAGGAGTCTTCATGGCGGGTACTCAACCCGGCCAAAATTCTACGGCCTCAGCGGCGATAACATCCGGGTTAGGAGCAGCCGGGG